ACACTCTCGCCTTTACCCGTACTTGTTTCGCGATCAGCCAGGACAGAAGGTGTGTGATTAAAAAGGAGAGGGAGTGTTAGAGCCACGTGGTGTACAGCCAGCTGGCTTTTGTTTTGGTCTCGTCCTGGAGTTTTCTTCTGGAATATATGGTCAAAGACAACCTTACAGGTGAATGGTAAATCAAGACATTGATAGTTTTCTCAATTTCTTGTTACAAAATATCAGCAACAACATCCTGCTCCTGCATTTGCATAAAGAGCTTGGAAGCCACCTCCGGATCGCCGATCTCGAAACGTCTAAGGATCATAGAAGTCCACGAGGTGACATTCCTGTGAGGCATTTCTTGGAAGAGCTGCCAAGCCACCCCAGCCCCCCACCGCACTTGAAATACAAGTCCATCAAAATATTCTCCAGCAAGATCGATGGAGAAAGCGCCGAGCTGCCGACCTCTGCCGAACATCGTAGTGAATCCTCCTCCCGCTCCCAATATCTCTCGATCTGGCAACGCAATGTTTCAGCGCTGCGACAGTGGCTCCCATGCCCGGCGCCTGGCCGCTGCGCCGCTGCGAATCGTATGCTTGCAGCGCATTGCCGCATCCCTCGCGAGTGCAACATCGCATTCATGGCCACAAATTTCTTTTTGAAAAAGCTTATAACATAAAGCTTCTGATTACGTTTCAAAGTCAGAGTAATTTTGGATAAGAGTGTAATTGGGAGAGGCAGGTGTGGTGTGGAAAGGTCTTTGCCAATTTAGTCTGTTGAAAGCTCGAGCAATTTGTGTTCCTGTATAGTAAAACATGCCCATTTACTGTAGTATGCAAAAACCATTGGTACAGCCCAGTTGCTGCAAAGACACTAATAGAAATGTCGCAAACACCATTAGAAGAATTGCTAATGTATATGAATCTGACATTTTGCTTCAACATGTGAACTATCTTAAATTGGCAGAAAATAACTACAGAAAGCAAAAGCAAAGCAAAAGTTCCAGATGGCATGGGCATCCATCACGAATCTAAAATAGAATAATACAAATAATAATCTTATGGGCGCTCAATGAGCCACAAACGTCCAAACTAATGAGCTACTAACATTACTACAGAGGAAGATTTTTCTCTTTTATTTGGCAATTTTATTTGAACCATGGAGCTCTTTAGCACTGGATGAAGAAGCTGTTCCATCCAAAGCCCGAGCAGTCCTGTACAGAGGCACTAAACCGTGTCTGCGCCACACCTTGGCAGTTTGCCGTGTTGTAGGCCGCAGCAGTCTGGCCCTGGTACCCAAAGCTGTAGCCGCCGTGCTGCGAGGCTCCAACATTGGTGCATCCACAAGCACTGTAGCGCACCCGCTGATTGTTACACCCGGGCCCTGCCCAAGTATCGAAGTAGCTTGCATTGGCCGTGATCATTGATCCCAAGACAATGACCGCCACAAGAACGAGCACCATTTTTCCTGCCATTGTCACGCAAACACAAAGCTATGCTATGATCGTCAATCAAATGAAAACTCTCTCAAGGAAGATCCAATGAACATCTAAGAGCACACAACAGTGAGATTTATACACCACCTCTTGCACGCGCCAAACAGTCAAGGGTCATCTTTTGCATGCGCAGTCAATGACGTGCACAAGCCCTAAAATATTATCATTATTGAAAACCTAATTGTACGTAGGAAAAAATGG